CCCAAGCAAATGCTGACCCTCTAAATAAGGACACAAGATATTTTTCAATTCCTAAATAACTTCTTTTTTTTTTTTTTTTTGGTACCAGGAATCAAACTCATGACCTCATGCTTGCCAGGCAGGCGCTTGTGCCACTGAACCATATCTCCGGCCCCCTAAATAACTTCTAAGGAAAATGGTGACAATCATCATAATCATCCCAGTTCCCCAGACTCCAAAAGTAACTCCTGGGTGCCTAAGAATGTATCCAAACTCATACTGGGGGGGCTGGGGATTTAGCTCAGCGGCAAAAGCGCCTGCCTAGCAAGCGCAAGGTCGTGAGTTCGGTTCCCGGTACCGGAGAAAAACCGAAAAACCAAACTCATACTGGGGATAGATGCCTTAGTTGCACTGTCCACCTGCTTGCTTAAAAGTGTGACTCTCTCTACGTCTACTTTAAAATAAACTCTACCTACACTTCTCTACGGCCTGATGAATTCTTTCACTAAGGCCACAGTTATGGTTGATACATGGTGTCAACTTGGCAAGACTAGGGGTTTGGCTAAGTAAATCAACAGTTCTACACCTTGAGATAAAAAAGACATGCCCTTACCCTTCTGGGATGCTGTTCATTGTGTCAATTTAAAAAGTTTAAAAGGTTAACCATGTGACTCAGCAGGGAGCCAGGGTCCTTACTTTGTATTCGTCCTGAGCCTGTGCAAGAGGAGGGCATGGAGATTATGTGAGTGCTACACGCCCCCTGGTAGAGCCAGCCCGCTTACAATATAAGAGAGATAAAGAGGCTTATGCTTCTCTGCCACTCCTCCCTTTTGCTCTTGTTGCTTTGCTGTTCTGCTGCCATAAACTGTTGTCTTCTGCCATGTGCCACTCTGCCTTGGAGCCAGCCAAGCATAGCTAAATATATCCACAAACTATAAGCTAAATAAACCTTTCCTTCATTTTGGGCGTTGGGTAACAACAACAACAAAAGTAACCAAGACAGCCACAAAGAACCAAGGACCAAGGAAGTGAGAGTCCTCACTGCTCAGGACCTGGCTTCCTGGTAACAACAGGATTATTTAACAATAACAAGAACAAACTTATTCAAACAAATAAAAGCTCAGCTGGATAAAAAATAAACATCCAGAATCAATAGGGTTCCTGTTTATTTTCATGTGCAAATAATATGTGCAAATTTCTTGTGCAAATAACTTGTGCAAATGGTTGACAGGGTAAAAGTAATCCATTTTCAGTGGCCAAACAAGGTATAAAATACTCTGGAAGACTCTCAACAGGAACATACAGGACTTACTTAAGCTACAAAAAACACTGTCTGGCAAGCGCAAGGTCGTGAGTTTGATTCCCGGTATGGGAAAAAAAAAAAAAACACTGTCAGCTATTTGAACACACTGCAGGTAATATTTCAGGGTGAAGTCAACCTTCTTTTTTCCAGCCATATGTTGTTTTACTTTCTCTCTGTTCTCACCCTGCTTCCTGCTACCCTGTGGACCTGATTTTAAAGCTAAGTCTTATAAATTTTGTTTTCGTTCTGAGCTACTTACCTCCAACTTTTCATAGGAACTCAGGAAAGCCTTTTTACCCTTCACCAACAAATTATCTGTGTAAACAGTGATATTTTCCCATTGGAAGTTCCAGCTCTGAATGCTCAGAACACATCAACTTCCCTTTCAGGTGTAAGGAAACCTGAAGATTAGGACATTACTTCCAGGTCATGACCTATCACAGACAGGAATTAAGGCACATCTCCTGGTGTCCAAAGAGATCTAAATCAGAGAGCACTCTTCCCCCATTTTAATCCCCACAGAAACCAGCCCTGCCAAACAGATTTCTTCCCAGCAGGAGAGAGTAAGTTAATTAATGAATACAAACTTTGGGATGAAAACTGACCCTGCTTTTAATTAAAAGTAAGTGAAACCTGACCTGACATTTGGCTCAGGGTATTTAAGTGAACTTATTTTTTTCCCTGTCTTGCACTTTCCAAAAAACCTCACGAATTCTGAAACAAAAGTGTATGGGGGGTTGCTGGGGATTTAGCTCAGCAGCACAGCGCCTGCCTGGCAAGTGCAAGGTCGTGAGTTTGATTCCCGGTACCGGAAAAAAAAAAAAAAGTGTATGGGAACTCAGAGCCACCAGGTCCCATAAGAAGTACCAGCAGGTGGCAGATGGGAACAGGTCGGAACCAGTCTGTGCACTTTTGTTCCTTCTTGGGACCAAAGTAATCGGTTTACAATGGGATGAGGTTCTATTTTCTATAGGATTTCCTTTATTGACAAATCCGTGAAATCCAAAGCTCTGTCCTTCTCCTTGTGTGTGACAGTCAATAAAATAAATAATTTTCATCTAAATTTTAAAGCAGCAAACAGAGAAATGCCCGAAGGAGGTTGAAAAGAACAGCTGGTTATTCTGGATTAACTTCAGGCTTCTGGTTTTCCAAGACAAAGTGTTGTCCATTCATAACCAGCAGATGGCAGAACAGCTCAGGAAAAGAAGCAAAATGGGGTTCTTAAATTTCAGTCCTATTCAGCCCAAGGGAAATAACTTTTCATTCATTTTACTAGGTTGAAAAATCATGAGCTCCAAGGTAGAGTGGTTACAGTATACTTTTAGTACCCACTGGTTAAAAACACATATAGTAAAAGTTACAATTAACTCAGTATAACTTTGAAGAAATTCACATTTTAATAATCACACAAAAACATCCACATGTATTTGAAATACAGAGACAGGGTAACAAATGTGTGGGAAGAATATTCACTCTCAGGTGATCCAGGGGCGCCTATGCATTCCCAGACCCTTGGCAAGGGCACTGTAGCCCCAGGCTTCCTAGGTCCATAGGATGAGACCTCAGAACTCTGAAACGCATCTGTTATAAATTACAAGGACACTAACATTGTGATGAACTTTTCAAATGCAGAAAACATCACGTAAGTCAGGGCCTCTGTGGGAAGGAAAGCTTCCCAGTGAGACAATACTTGCAGTGACAGTATGTGCAGGACATTGTTTGCAGACATACCTATTTCTACGAGTTATGGAGTAAATTACTCAGTCTCTGTTTCTCCAACTGTAAAGTAGCATATTACCAACTACTTGCAGTATTTCTGTAGATGACACGGGATGATTTATGTAAGGCTCTTAAATCACTGGCTGGCACACAGAAGGGCTGAATAATGTTGGCTTCTGCAGGGGGCTGGGGATTTAGCTCAGCGGCAAAAGCGCCTGCCTGGCAAGCGCAAGGTCGTGAGTTCGGTTCCCGGTACCAGAGAAAAAAAAAAAAAAAAAAAATGTTGGCTTCTGCAGATATGATTACTGGCATTGTGGGCAGTGTTACTGTCATTATTTCCCATAGCATAATAGAAGCTGACTGAACATCGGGAACTTCACAAATGAAGTTTCCTTTAGTGAATTAATCTCTGCAGGGATTGGTGTCCCTTAGTTTTCGACATTTCCAAAGTGTTCCAGTGGAGGAAGGGCCGCATTTCTTCCTTGGCCTGCCAAGGCCTGATCTCCTGACTCTAATCTAAAAGAGTTCCAAGGATGAAACATCCTTCACCCTCTACCACCCCAGCACTAGAGCTGCCATCCCTGCTGCAGCCACTCAGCAAATTACAAGGACTCTGAGCATCTATGCAAGGATTTGTGGATGTCTGGACAAATGCATAGATGTTTGTTGCTGAGCTTCAGCATTTTTTAAAACGTTCTGAAGCTGTGGACCCTGTGTCCGGTGATACTTGGTCTAAAGCTTCCTCCCTGAAGGTCTCATATTGGAAGGACTGATGTTCATCCTTTGATTTCACTCTCTCCCCCCAAAACAAGGAGCCTCTGCTTAGCTCTGGCCTGTCAGAGCAAGATAGACAGATGGGAGCAGGGGCTCCCAGACTTCCTTCAGCCACGCATGCCCTTCCCGTTGTGGTTGGCCATCACAGTGCATGAACAGGGACTCTCCTGAGATACCAGACACCAGTGGAGGGAGAGTAATGTGGCCAGAGTAAATGTAGCTCGTGTCCTCCCTGGCCCACTGTGGCACTGGCCAAGGGCATCCTCAGACAGGCATTCTTCAAGCCCAGCAGGCCGGACCAACCAAGTCATTGGTCCCAGGCCTAGGAAGAGGAGGAATCGAATAGTCTGAGGAGGCAGCACCACAACAGTGTGAGGAGGACTCTTCTAATACGGCATGAATTTTCTCCACAGGACAAGGCCCCTGGCTGACCACAGAACACACTGATTAACCCTGTGCCGTGACAGTAGACAAAAGAACAGCAAAGGGTGGGGCCATAACTGTCCCATGGAGATGCTCCTTGAGTTAAAGAAATCATTCAATAGCTGGGCCCCAGATTGTTTCGGGGACCTGAAGAGTAAGCACTCTGACTCCTTTAATTTCTGGTGCGACTGCACGGCCTGTGGACATTCACATACTTACCACTCACAACCCAACAAGCCTGCCAAGTAGAGTTAACGAAGGTGACCAAGGGCAAGCACAGTGACACAAGGCTGTAATCCCAGCAATCTGGGAGGCTGAGGAAGGAGGATGGCAAGTTTGAGCTCAGCCTGGGCAACTTAGCAACTTAGTGAGCCCCTGAAAAAGAGCTGGGGATGTAGCTCAGTGTGAAAGTCTTCTTGGGTTCAATCCTTAATGCAAAGAGAAGGAGCGGGAAGCTGCAGAGGTGCCTGTGTGCAGGTGAACAAAGACCAGAGCACCATGAACACAACGCAGCTTTCTGCTCCTTTCCACAAAGGGTCGAGTTCTCAGGAAAGATGGCCCAACTGACTGTCCTTAGCCAAACATCACATTCTTGGATGAATAATCCATAGGAGAAGAGCAGGAAGAGGAGGGGGCCAGGAAAGTACAGAGCAACTCCCTGGGGAATGACTGTGTCACTCACAGACAGGTTGTGATGACAGTGACAGCACTCACGCCCACCACATTGAATTCTTGTGTCTCCCAAGAACGATCCCTCAGACTGCCACCCAGACCCAAAGGAAGCCCCTGGCCACACACTTACTTGTCATTCACAAGTTTCCCATGTTGGTGAATCTGATTTTCCATCGTGAAGTTGATGGTGGCACCGTACACGTGCTCACCAAAAAACACCTTCATTTTAGATTTGTATTCTTCATCTTGAAAATACCGGATCATGTCAGGAAACCAAACCGTCAGACCATAATAGCTGGAAAAGAGAAGAAGACAAAATGTCTGAGCAGTAGCACTATGATTGATTCCTTCACAACCAGAGTCTGCACGCCTGGCTTGTTGTGGATCAGACTCTTTAAACAATATGCAGTATAAGAGCCATTGTTGAACTCCTAGCGTCTTGTATGGTGAAGCCCTGCATCATTTCCAATGTTGTTTTTCTTTTATTATTTGTTATTGTTTTTGATTGTTTGATTGGTGTTACATTCTTATGTCTGGTGGGCTGAGCAACGTCATTGAAGATAATAGTAGGTAATGTAGCAACCACTGCTAATTCCTTTCATTTTGTTTTGAGGTCATGTATCATTTATGTTGTTTTGATTTTGCCTTCATTGTTGTTTTGTTAGCTTTTTTAATTTTTAAAATAAAAAACAATTGGGTTCAGTATTAGAAAATATAATAATTTATAACATTAATATAGCTAAGAAATTGTGAACATCTTCAAAGACAAAGAAAAGGCATTTGATTAAAAAAAATTCACTGCTGGGCTGGGGGTGTAGCTCAATGGTAGAGTGACTGCTTAGGGGCAAGAGGTCTTGGGTTCCATCCTCAGTGCCAAAAAAATCAAAAACTCATTCCAGTAGATTATAGATTGTCAACACTTGCTTACCACATACAAAATACATGTCTTGGCTCAAAAATCAGAATCTTAGTGAATAGGGAAACACTAATGATGTTTCCACTAGCATTAGGACCAAGACAAGGATACCAATGATCACCATGACTATTTAACACCATCTTAGGGGCTGGGGATTTAGCTCAGCGGCAAAAGCGCCTGCCTGGCAAGCGCAAGGTCGTGAGTTCGGTTCCCGGTACCGGAGAAAAACCAAAAAGAAAAAAAATAACACCATCTTGTAGGTCTTAGCCAATTCAGTGGAGAGAAAGAAGTAGGAATGTAAACTTGCAAAGCAAGAGGCAAAACTATCTCTATTTGCAGGTGATACGATTTTGTACCTGGAAAATTTAAGATAAGCCACTCCAAAAAATTCAGACATTAAACATATAAAAAAGATGCTCAGTCCTACTTATAATCAGGAAAACGTGAATTAAAAACACACTGTTCTGAGCTACCAGATTGTCAAAACCCCAAAGTTTGCTAAAACACTCTGCTGGGAAGACTGTAGACTAACAGGTGCTTTCATAAATTGCTGGGGAAAGGACAAGATTGTACACTACCATGTGGAGAAGAACGTGTCAATGAATAAAAATATCACTTATGCCTTTACCCCTTTTTACCCTTCAATTCCACGTCCAAGAATACATTCCACTGATAAATCAGCCCAAATATAAAATAGCCCTCAAACACAGTAACTCATTGTGGCATTATTTGCAGCAGTAAAGGTCTAGAAACCTCCCAGGGGACTTTTGAGAAGGCCCCAGGAGCAGAAAATTCGATTTACTATGAGATGCTAGGTGCAGGCGCTGTGCCACTGTAAGAAAAATAAACAAATCCTCAGTGTACTGGCATGAGGAGACTCCAGATTAGACCACCGTGCACAAAAGATAAATGTAAAATGTGTGCCTTTGAATAAGAAAAGGGAGAAGATACAAATATATATATATATATATATGTAATTATTTGGTTACTTTTACAAAAAGAATCACTGGGATGATAAATAGGAAAATAAAAGATGATTACATATGGGAGGCAGAAGGGAGTGGGTGGAGGGAGAAGATGAATTCGCAATTTCTTTGTTGTTCCAACATTGGAAATGTATTACCTACTTCACAAAATGAATTGAACATAAATAAATATAAATAAAACCAATTTTAAAACTACCAGTGAATTGAATCCTAGCGTTGGTCATATTTGCCTTCCGAAATGTTCTCTGTCAGCTGGGCTTGAATGATGTAAGGGGAGCAAGTTAGCAGCAGGCACAATACTCTCACCTGCCTGGGTCTGGAAGGCCAGGCCTCCACGCACAGGTGCTGGAGCACATGAGGTTTCCCCACATTTTCCCCATAATCTCAGAGCTCATTACAGCTCATTAACTTTCCCGGGGTGAGGGCAGGTATGTTTTAGACCTACACAGTGGTGAGCAAAGTAATCTCATAGATGGAAGTTTAAAATCTTGCTAGTGGTTCCTAGTTGACAATTGCAATTTATTGAACATTTATTACATGTCAGAAACTATAGTAAGCACTTTATACACACAGTAAAGCAGCCCTGTGACACTGTAAACAGGATCCAAAATTCACGTAGAAAGAAAGATCCTACTGTGTGGAGATGAATGTAGCTAAGGTACGAGTCTGCAGCTTCAGTGAGGAGGAAGCTAATCACACACTGAATTACAGTTTTGTTTATTGCAGGACACAGTATTGCAGAGGCCCATTGTCTTACGTTTCATATTCTCAACACTGGTGACTGCCTACCTGGCACTCATTCTCAGCTTCCTCCTTGCAAAAAGAAACTTCATTCTACCTAGGTGTCCATCATTAAGAAAGGTACCAGTACCTTCAGCTTGGAGGTAAATCCTGATTAGTCTAAACCACTAGGAAATCCCATCTCCTTTGTCTGAGATGAGTTTAGCCCTGGGCTCGTGACCCACTTCCAACTACTAGAACAGGAAGGAAAGTTGGCTGCAAAGGTCTGAGGAAAGTTCATTTGGTGCTAAAAGGGAAGCTCAATAACTAACAATCGCCTAACAAAAGCAACTAGGTAATGATTACCAGTCAACGATCACTAACCGGGCTGTATTTGGTTTTTTTGGTTTTTCTCCGGTACCGGGAACCGAACTCACGACCTTGCACTTGCCAGGCAGGCGCTTTGCCGCTGAGCTAAATCCCCAGCCCCAGGCTGTATTTGTTACTTAAAGTCTGCCAAGAGGGGTGACCCTAAGTGTCCCCGCCACGCACACAAATGGTGACTATGTGAGGGGACGGCCATGTTCAATTAGCTCAGAGTGGCCATTGTTTCACAATATATTTGTATATCAAAACATTAAATTGTACACCTTAAATATTTACACAATTTTTATTTGCCAATTATACCTCAGCATAGATGCGGGAGGGAGATCAGGGGAGACAGCCTCTTACTCCTTGAGACACAGAACCTCTTGTCACAGGATGCTGAGAACAGCACCTTGCAGTCACTGTGAGAACTAGCCTGAGGCTGAAATGCTTCCTACAGCCTGCTTTACCGGAATTCTTGTTATGATGCAAACTTTCCTCTTATAGATGCCATCAGGGGGTTTGCCCACTATTTGCAGCCAGAAGCAACTACACTGACACAAACTCTATGACTCTTCAGTGTGCAAATGGGGTGACTGAGACACAGGGAAATTAAGGGGCTCAGGCAGGATGGAACTCACCTGAGAGCCATGGTAAACCAGACCACAGCCAGAATCAGGGTGTTCATTCTGTAGGGCCCCATCACGCAGTACAGAGCATTATCCCAGACCTGAAAGCCAGACCAGAGAAGAACGGTTAAAGGAAGGAACATGTGTCTTGGAAGAGCTCATTCTTCAGATTTTCTAAGAAAGTGGCTACGATCTAGTGGAGAGAATAGGCTACCCATCATCTCCTAGAGCAGCACCAAAAAAGCTCATCTGTTCTTACTCGCTGACCTCATACTAGAACAGTCCTGTGGCCTTTCCCCTGTGAACATGATATTCCATGAATGGGACCAAAGTGCACTGGACTGGACTGTCTGGAGTAGTGAGTTCTCTACTACTGGGGCTGACATGCAAATGTCTATGGATGACACGCCATGGACACCACCTACCTCAGTGCTGCCTCAACAGCTGCCTTGCTCCTTCCGTGAAAGAGCCAGTGCCCTGGAGAAGACATTGCCCTCTGTGAAGAATCTTTCCCCAAAACCACTAACAAACCTTAAGGAGCTATTGATTTATTTCACTCTCTTCTTCCTTCCTGTAGCTTACTTAATAAGGCACTAGAGAGAAGCGTGTTTACTCAGATCAGCCAACATCCTTGCCTTAAGAAAGAAGACCAAACACAGCACACCAGAGTTTAGAGAATGCGCACCTCAAAGATGCTCAGAAAGATACAGGCAGACGTGGGCTGGGACCCAAACATCCCTGGCAAGAGCTGCTTCTTATCATGCTGCCTTAGGCTGATGAGGGTACTTAGGGTCTTAGTTCTTCACCTGCTAAAGTCATAGACACCCGTAGAGCCACCCTCCCAGATCATACCTGCTTAAAAGTGGTCTTGAATCTGACCAGCCAGCGCTGGTACCAAGTTCCTGTCGAACTTTGGATCTCAATGAATTCATCCATCTGCTTGGGAGTTTTGATGTGGGAAACCTGAAAAGCAAAGATGGGCTAGAACTCGGGCCCCAATCTTTTTGTCACGAGGGACTGGTTTCGTGGAATTTTTTTCCATGGACTGGGGAGGAGGCAGTTTTCAGGTTGATTCAGGAACATTACATTTATTGTCCATTTTATTTCTTTTATTATTACATTAGATTCTCATAACAACAAGCAACCTAGATCCTACTACTAGTTCACAGTGGATTTGCACTCCTATGAGAATCTAATGCCACCACTGACTTAACAGGGGGTGGAGCCCAGGTGGCTATAAATACAGATGAAGCTTTGAGTGCTGGCCACTACTCCCTCCCATGGTGTGACCCAACTCCTAGCAGGCTAGAGACAGGTATCAGTCCACAGCCACGGTTGGAGGAAGCTAGGGAATCTCAACTCCACTTTATCTTCAGAATCCTCAATTTTTAATTTAATATCATTGACTTTTTAAACTTCTTTAGGCCAGAGGAGTCTCTGGTGACCTTCTAATTCAGTGGCTTTACCCACAGGTGCACATGGCATCTCCTACACATCTTTCTCAGGTGGATATGTCCCACTTGGGAAAAATGCAGCAGAATTTTTTCACCAAGTCATGCCCTTGGGAAATTTACATTATTAGTGGTTTTATAACATACTGGTTTTCCATGTACATCTCATATATATATAACCCACAGTAAAATTGACGTCACATTAAAATTCACAATATTATTCTTAGTAGATATGAGCATCACAGAGGTCTAGGATCCAGGCAGGCAACAGCAGGACGAAGGGATGTTACTACTCAAGACATTTCGACATGTCTTGACATTTAGAGACAAGAGAATAACTTTACTCTCAGAGTAGAACCCAACACAGTGAGAAGCACAACAGAGTAAAGGAAATCACGGACTAGTTCCCCCAGTAGAAATCAGAGAGGAGGTGGGTCTCAGGTGGGAGAGCTCAGTGTATCCCCGAATGGCTGGGGAAAGTTGCTATGCCCACTGTGAGCAACTTCGCACACCAAGGCAATGATTTCCAAAGCAATCCGACCTTTAAAGCGGCCATTGAATTGCATAACTGATCACTGTTTTAACGAGATTCCTGAGCACACATACTCTTTCAGGCAAGTTACCAAGGTCCACGCTTGTGGACGTCTCCTCTAATTCACAGATCCAATGGAAGAATGTTCTCAGAAAATCTCAGACAGTTCCCAGCACCTCCTCCAACAAACCTTCCATCTAGGGGTAAAACAATGACTTTTTTCCTTCACCAAAAGATTGAGAAAATGAAGGCACAAAGGAAGAGAAATAGGGATGGGGTCAGATAATCCACAGGGAGAAAACCAGTGCCTGGATACAGATACAGTACCTGACTCACTGGTGCCTGAATACCAGGTCTGAAGGAGCTCGGCCACGCTTCTCTCAACCCTGCCCACAGAGTCCCAACTCCTGAGAGGGGCAGGCACCCATGGAGGATCTGATAAAAGCAGAGGCTCTTTCACAGCTGCACATCTGTGAGCATGCTGTGAGCCTTGTGGACTTGTCCAGCCACCTGGGGCCACAGGTTTGCAGAGCCTCGTTTGCCTGAGACCAGACAGGGGAACCCAAGAACAAGGAGGGCAGGCTCTGGCTTCAGCCTGGAGCCTGTGCTTCCCTTTATCCCACAGACATCTTGGGGCTGGGGATTTAGCTCAGTGGCACAGTGCCTACCTGGCAAGCGTGAGGCTGTGAGTTCGATTCCCGGTACCGGGGAAAAAAAAAAAAACCACAGACATCTTGAGCCCCAGCTCACTGCAAGGAGGCCAGAGGCAAGGGCTGACACCAAGCCACGAGGCCCCTTGAGAGCCACACTCCAAATCACTCAAATGCAAATTATTTTCTTTGCTCCTTAGGAAAATAACACCCCATTCCCTAGGGATCTGGGAGTGGGTGTATTGACAACTTCAGGCACACTCTAAATTATGGTTAATTAGACCACTTGTCTTTGATTGCATCTAGATTAGCATATGTCCCATGCCCCCATCCCAATCCCTGCTGAACACAAGTGTACAGCAGAAGGCTTCATTGGCCTCCCTTCTAATGGCTTCTCTGCAGACATCTGCCCCGTGGCTGTTCACAAGCTGGACAGGTAGAGAGGGGAGCTGGTGGAACTCAGGCCTCACCAATGAAAGTAAAGAGCAAGGCACACACAACTACCTGCAGATTCGCTAAGTGGGATTCTGACCACCCTCAGCACTTCTCAGGCTGCTAAGTGCCTTTAAGAGAAATATACCCCAGGGAGCAGATAGGATAAGATAGGTAACTCCATCCAGGCGGACTGAGAATTCACCTGACTGCTGCCAACACAGGCCAGCTCTCTGAGGTCACTCAGCATTTCCAGTTCTTCCTTCCTTCTTTCCTACCTTTCTTCCTTCTTTCTTTTTCTTTTTCTTTTCCTTTCCTCCCTCCCTTCATTCCTTCCCTCATTCCTTCCTTCTTTCCTTCCTTCTTCCCTCCATCAGTCCTTCCTTCCTTCTTTGCTTTTCCTGGCCCATGTCACCACTGCTACATAATTCATAGTCACTATGGAATACTGAACCCACAACAATCTTCGTTCTATTTTCCTACTCGGTAAAAACTACTAAAAGCAGAACTTATACCTAGGAGCCAGCATGTGTGTCAGGATGAGACAATTCCAACACTGAATAGCCCCCTACCCATTGATTTCTCCCTCGGCTTTTTTCCCAGGAAGTGCTTCCACTCTTACATAAGGAACTCAGGTCCTGGGGTAAAGAGCTTACCTCTCACCTTCAGAAATTGGAGTTTTTTAAATCAGGTTTATTCCTCAACATTAGGATACTGAGATTTGTTAAAATAATTAAGTGGAAGGCTGAGGTGGCTCTAAATCCCTGGGCATTAGAACCTAACTCAGATGTAAGAGAAAATGATATTTAAGTTCAGCCAATCATAGGCAACCAACTGACACAGTATTAGTTATTTTGAATTTCCCATCACATAGTCCAAACAAGGCCATTGCATTGCTCAAACTTCAAACAATCTGCTTCCACATTTGCCCTATAAAACCTCCCCGTGGTCCTTTGGGTGTGCCCTGAACCATTTCTGGGTTGGAGACATCCAATTCACAAACTGCTTTCTGCTCAAATAAATTCTCTAAAGTGTTAATTTACCGAAGCTTATCTACTAGCACATTAGAACAAGTTGTCAAAGAGAAGGTGTGGGATTACTTATCTACAAAGGTGAGCCCAGTGAGTCAAAGCCAGTCAACAGATTTAGAAGGGGTCCTTCCAGGAGCCACAGGAAGGAAGCAGTGGGTGGTGCTACTGTGCCAGGTGACCAAGGGTGAAATAAGAGTCAGACAGAGACAATGGTTTACCAGGACGATAAGGGCAAACATGCAGGATGGGACACAGAGGGATGTTCTATCAGGACTCCTCAAGAGAACCCATGTGTGTTTGGCATAAATCTATTAGTAAATGACTTACTATATGGGACAATCCAAGGGGAACCACACTCAGACTTGAAAAACCATGGCATGGGCCAGAGAGAGGTTATTTTATTCCAAAAGGAAAAAGAGAGATTGCCATGGAAAGAGAAGAGACCCAAAAAAATAAAGAAAGAAAAAGAACAGAGAAGGCAGAAAGAAAAGAAGGAGAAGGCTTGGATGTAATTCCTATTATCGTCAGATTTTTGGTAAGGTTATAGAACTCACAAATGCTTGGTGTAAGGGTGTGTGTGTGTGTTTCATACAAGGATGACACAGTACAAAAACCAATTCAGCTGATGTGGATTGAGAAAGCAGGAGCTTTGAATGAAACTTGGACTTGTCCAGGCTATGGAATGGGAAGCAGAGGAGGAGCAGCAGGACCAAGCCCAGGATGCCCTGATTCCCTGAGCAGAAAGCCCCTTACACATCTAGTTTCTGCACCTGTAGCCCAGCTGTGGCATTATAATCTATCCGAGAGAGCAAGGGGCTGGAAAATGTACCCTTAACATCTTTCACTTGGAAGAATTCTATTAATCATGCATCTTAATACATGTTTGTGAAAAAGTATTGGTCCTGTATTTTAGATATTTTAGGAGTGTTGGAATTGGATAAATATGTTATTGAGTAATTTTCCATAAAGCTTATAACAAGAGTTAAGTCCTGAAAAAAATGTCATGACATTTTTGAATAATGGTTCACATCTGTAACATTCCGAGCTAGGCATTGTTTCAGGCGCTTTATTTAATCCTTACAATAACTGTTTTTGTGGATATGTGCTATTATCCTGCTTTCCCAGTGAGGAAACCGAGGTACAGAGCCTACCTTGCCAAAGACCACACAGCTAGAAAGTATCAAAAGCAAGATTTAGACCCAGACCGCCTGACTCCTGGTGTAGATACTTAACTACCGTGTGGTCCTACCAGAAAATTTGGGGTTTTAAGCATCAGGTCAACAAAGACAAATACTTTGCTCTAGACTGGAATTATGAAAGCCAAAGAATCAAAAAGCACTGGATGAGAGTTATGCAGGAGTTAATTCAGGAAGGCTTCCTGAAGGAAGTGGATTTGAAGTAGTTCTTAGAAGCAGTTGAGGAAACAGGTACACAGAGCTGCCTCTAGGAGGCAGACCTTGCAGCTGGCCACAGCACACATCTCCATCACAGGACATCTTCATGAAAATTACTGCTGTGGGTTTTTTGCCTTTTCAAAAGATGGAGCACAGCATCTCCATCACAGGACATCTTCATGAAAATTACTGCTGTGAGTTTTTTGCCTTTTCAATAAGCAAGGAAACAAAATTAGGCTTAACAATGAGCGCTGATAAGGATGTAGAGACATGGGTACCCTGTTGCTTACGGCGTGGTAGAGTGGCACGACCCTAATGCAATGTACTTTGGCAATATATCTTGAACCTGCAAAAATATCCACGTTCTGAGCCAGTAATTTTATTTCCAGAAGTCTACTCTCCTCTTAGTAAACAAACTCAGAACTTGAAGGGACCATCACTCCATGTGCATGAGGGTTCACTGTGACAATATTTACAGAAACAAGGTAATAAAACAGGGTAAATAAACCTCTGACCCGAGGGACATGTTCATTAAAACTGTGGCAGTGTTCCTAACATTAGTGTTCATTAAGATGATGGTGATGAATGCTGGGAGGCAACGTATCAAGTGCTTATGAGTACTGCTTAATATGCATATGCAAATCTGCATACATATTCTTACACTCATGTGAATATGGCTGGGTTTTCCTGTTGTCATGTTTAACACTACCGAAGGAAAAACCTAGAAAGACATCTACCAAAATACAAATAATAATTATGATGTAACAAAAGGAACAGTAGGGTTTTATTTTCCTTTTCACAGTCTTTCTGTTCAATTATTAAAATTACTTTTAGTATATAAAGCCCAGAACAGTAGGAAGAGGCTATCACACACTCACCGTGAACACCTTCTCTGGGGTCCCTTTGGCCCTCATGTTGGTGTCATGGACTTGCTTGAGAATCATCCAGGCTTCGTCATGTTTGCCCATCTAATAAAACGAAAGAATAGGATGTAAAACTCCATTGCGCACTTCATCAAGGTGGAAAACTACAAAGAGGGCACCAATGCCTGGGTCTAGATGGATTAGACATGGACTCATGAGAATCTAGGGCTTGTGAAAAGACTAGGACATGTTTCCACCCCGCCCATCATGGAAGGATAATAGGGTCATGCCTTTAAGGTGTAAATGTCAGATATTATTACCATTATCCACTGTGAGTAATTATAGTTATAAAGTTGAGTGGGTCAAGGGATGAAAGCCACGCTCCTCACTGATGAGATAAAGGGAAGTAACAGCATGGTGTGCATTAAAGTGCTCATCCTCAGTACCGCAGAGTGACCTCATTTGCAAAGAGAGTGATGCAAATGTAAGGAGTTAAGATGAAATCATCCTACGATGGTGTGAGCCCTTATTCCAAAATGACTGTTGTCCTTATAAGACAGTCATATGAAGACACAGGGCCACACAGGGGAAACTCCATGCAATGACGAAGGCTTCAGTTTAATAGATGCAGTTGCCAGTAAAATTTGCCTTTAAACCACCACAATCTGTGAAGAGCAAGGAAAGACTCTCTCCAACAGATTTCAGAGAGAGAATGGCCCTGCTGAAAGCTTGATTTGGGATTTCTAGCTTCCAAAATGGTGGAAAGATTTGCTATTATAAGTCACTTTGTTGGTGGCTCTTTGTTACAGCAGTCCCCAAAAAACAAGCACACAACAAAAGGTGAATTTTGAGACAACTCCCTGCTACATCTGCCTGATGAGTGGGAGGAAGAGGAAATTCGGCGCTGAGGCTCACTCTGCAGAAAGCTCCAGAGGGCAGCAGATCCGCGGTCTCTGGGGCTGGGCCTGTGACGGCCTCTGTGTCCTGTCTCCCTTTGGCCAGTGCCTCACCTGTGTGACCACTGCAAGCTCCACAGTCCCCCAAAGTTGGGAGGCTTGGAGGATCATCCCTCAGGACCCAAGTAGCTTTCTGGGAAGATAGGGGCCCGGTGCAGGCAAGATCTCTGGTGGCTCTGGGGACAACAGTGAGCTTTACCTTAGACTTCACTGCTGCAACACAGAAAAGCAGTGTGCCAAGTCTGGGGGTGGGGGGAGCATGAGGCAAATTAGAAACAGCCCTGCCACCACCGCCCAGGCTTGGAGAGGGCTCTTGCTTGGGATTCCATGAGCTCCTCACCCTCCAGCACCATCAGGCCATGAACCTGTGATCTGCAACCATCAGCAACAGGAAGGGAGCCAGATTTAATGACGCATAAGGTCAGCCAACATGGGGGAGACTGCAAGGAGCAATCAGGAGAGAATCAGATGCCAAGGGCAGAGGGAAGTAAGGCCAGGACTCCTGTGGCTGAGGAGGAGCGGGGGACTCACCTCTAGCAGAAACCTGGGGCTCTCGGGCATGAACTTCAGGGCCACCATGGACACAGTGCAGGGCAAAGCACAGACAATGACAAATACTCGCCAGCTGTGGAAGTGGTAATTGGTCCCCATGCTGAAGCCCCAGCCTGTGGAAAAAAAACAAGAGGATCCCTGGCTCATGGTCTTTCCAGCTGCAGAAAAACACCTGAACAGCAGCAATCAAACTTCAGGGCATCTGAGCTTCACCCCAGGCACTGGTTAAAGTGTTGACTCCCAGCTGCAACCACAAAGCTTGAATCATAAGTCTGGGATGGGAGCTGAGAATCTGTATTTGGACACATCCGTAGGCCCAGACTTGACCTCACATTTACGGATCTTTGACTAAGAGTGCAAACAGAAACAGCATCCCATATTTCTACAAAGATGTTGAATTTTAAGTGAATTAACTGTTAAATAAAACATGTTCTTTCTATCCACCTTTCTTGCCAAATAATGGCATGGAAGGCCAGGCCCAGAATCATACCTTCTTTTGCTAGATGCCCTTCTCTTCCTCCCCAGCGCCTCTCACAGAGCAAGGGGTCCCAGGTCCATATGTGTGCACATACCACTTCACCACTATGATGAGAAGAGGCACACTTGTCCTAACCCCTCAAATAGGAATTTCTGGGTTTTAGGCGCCCAGAGCATGGGTTGGCTGGGAGGGTCTATTGGTCAGCTTTATTGTTGCTGAAATGAAATGCTTAACACCTATAATTTAAAGGAGGAGAAGCTTACTTTGGCTCAGTTTCAGGTGGGTTCAGTCCCTGGTTGGCTGGATCCAAGGTAGAAACAGAATGGCAAAAGGGCGTGATGGAAGAAAGCTGCCTATCACACGACAGCCAGAGAGAGGAGGAGCCAGCTGCAAGAAATCACCCTTCCAGGTCATACACCCTCATGACTCACCTCTTCCAACCAGGCCTCACATCCAAATAGCAGAACCTAATACGCTCTCATTCACGGGCTAATCACTGACGAGTACAGTGCCCTAACGGTCTGATCACCCTCCAAAAGCCCCACGTCTGAACACAAGATTTTGGGGGACATTTTAGATCCAAATCATAACATAGTGGGGTGAAGGCCTCAGAGACTTCACTTGTCTCATGGAATGTCCAGTGCAGGCCCTATGTGGCCCAGGGCTTGGGGATCTCTTTCACCCAAGAGGAAAAGCGCAAAAACTCCAGGTGATTCCAAGGCAAAGATTCAGGACCACATTTTGCAAAACACTGTAAGTTCTAATATGACAATGCAAAAATTATTTAAAAAAAAAATCTCGACATTAAAATTAATCTCATCATCACTGAAATGTGGAGGTGACCAGGGCCTATTCAGCTGTCATTATATGAAACACTGCTAAAATTCATTCTCAGAACTTACATTCAAGATAATTTTTTAATGCCCTCATGGGTGGCAAAGTCTCTTACGGAGCAATTAGACAGTAAGAGGATCCTGGACTCTCGTGATCACATAGAGCAGAGTTCAAATCCTGGCTTTATCACATCAGCATTTAAATCCTCGGTTTTCACAGCTGTAGACCACAGGTAATGACACCCCAAAGATTTGCTACTTGTGAAAGCTCCCAGCAACCCCTATAATAACTCCCCTACCTTGAGGGTAAATGATTTTTTAGAAATAGCTACATGACATTTAGTGCCAAGGATGTTGAATAAAATGGAGGACCCTCAGCAAATATCAGCAAAAGAAATATTTTTTAAAAAGAAAAGGCTTGTGCTCACTTCAGCAGCACATACACTAAAAAAGAAAAGGTTGAGGTTATAAGATAAAATGATGCCACATATAAATATATATATAAATATATATGAAGATAATTCAAAAAATAGATGTATTAGGTAAAACTATATAAATAAATGCATTGATCCCTACAGTATGCAGGATAATTCTTATTTGCACAAAAAGTTCCTAGTTCGTTTACTTAAAAATATATCTTATGGCTAATTTCAGTGGTGGGAAGCTTATGTCTTAAATTTTCAGATTCCCCATGGTGGTTCAGCTCATTTACCTGCAAAAGATTCCTAATAAATATTTGCTTTTCCTGCAGATACTTCCTACGGCATTGGCACAATTAAAGGATGAGGCCAGAGGAATCCAGGTGGCAAAATGTGGGACTGTGGCCACGTGGTCACCTTTAGCCTCAGCCACAGGCCACCCTACAGCATCATCCTACAGAGTCAAAACAAAAGCTCTTTTTTCACAGCTTGATCTCTTCCCATCTCACTGGGGTTTATTTACTTCCTTTAATTTTAATTAAAGGGTTTTCAAACTCTTTAATTGGTGGCGCACGCCTGTAATCCCTGCACTCAGAAGGCTGAGGCAGGAGGATTGTTGTGAGTTTGAAGCCAGCCTGGGCTACAAAGTGAGCTCAAGGCCAGCCTGAACTGATAGCAAGACCCTGTCTCAAAAAGACAAAAAAAAAAGAACCTGTCCTTTCTCCTGGGAGTAACACCAGAAAAGAGAAAGATAAAACCATAGCAATATTTATACATTCCCAGCTGTTATCCAAAAACTTTTCTAGCATCAGTAGAAATAAAGTCGATCAAAACTAAACAGCAGTCACATCAGATGGATAACCAGAGAAAGCGGGCAGAAGCAGGTATATTTACAAAGTGCTCTGCCTCAGAAAGATTTTTTTCTTTATGATAATATGTGTAAATTATCAAAAACTCCATCATCCCTTCATGCCTCTGTGGCTTTATGGTGATTTCAGTAATCTTCATTTATTGCACTCATTAGGCACATCTTTGGGGGCTTAAACTGAATAAAATTAAATAGTGAGCTGCTTCCAAATATTTGGAACAATATTAATTTGGAGGCAGGGATTGTTCTGTTCACTGATCTTTCAGCTTGCCCTACTTTTCTCTGTCAGGATTTCACAAACATCTGGGAATGCTGACTAAAATGAGAATTAATTTTCCATAATATATCCATTTTTTCTGGGCTGTGCCCATGAGTTCCTAGGAAAACCTTTTGAATTTTGTAATTTTCTCTCTCAATGAGTCAGTCACCCAAATTCTGGGTGCCAAGACCTCCCATCATTCATTCTTGCAGATGCAATTAAATGGGTTACACAAGCATCACTCTCCTTTTTAAGTCACCCTTGCAGTTGTTAGACGATTAGTGTCTTAGGCATATTGAGAAATATCATCAAATGTCTGGTTCACTGTGGACAAAACATCTGGCCCTGGTAAAATGGAGCTTAAAATAATCACTCTTGTTCTACTGTGATTATAGCCTGTCATGTTTCTAGACTGAGTTGCCACCATGCTAACGCCTGTTTTGATTAAGTCTCTATTTTAAAATAGAGAATAATGGAATAGCCCCAGGTTTTGTACAGGCGTACAGACAGGGAAATGTGCTGTCCATTTTGGGTAAAATATTTAACCACAAGCTCTACCGTCAGCCAGCAACCCTGTGACCCTCTGCCACAGGCTCTCCTGTGGTTTCAGTACAAAGGATTCCACCCTGAATTCTTTGATTGTTTTCTTCGAGGCCAGACACTTAGAGAGTGGAATGAATGTTTATTTGTGTAAAGTGGGGTTTAAAATATTGGTGCAGCCTGCAGTGATTAGTATGGATTGCTGTCTCCCTTTGTAACATTGTTCTGCCCTCCCTTCCCCATGGTGTGGCAATGTGGGGTTTGGGTGAGGTTGGCCCCACCCCAGTTCCAGAGATGGGGAAGGTCTAAACCACTTGGCACCTGCATTCGCCGAGGTACAGTGATGAGCTGAGGTGGGCCCATGACCTAAGCTGAGCCAATCAGAGGAAAGTCAAAGACCTTTGCTCCCTGGCTGAGTGGGAGGGCATGCTCTCTTCCTGCAACAGGCAGTCCGCAGACAGGAAGCCTAGGATTGCTCGAAAGCTAGCCAAGTACGAGAGCCATCTTGAAATTTTTTTTAACATTCCCCTTTGTGCCCCAGGAACTACTCAACCTTCCAACTGGCAGGGATTCAACAGCAATTCTTTTGGTTTCCCTCCTCCTCTCCATTTTATAGGTGAAAGAGGCCCAGCTGAACAGATGGAGTAACTTGTCCCGTATCGCACAGCTCAACTATTTGGACTCCATTTTATTTGTCCCTATGCAAAGAGCTTTTCAGTCATTTTATTTAAACATGGGGAATGTTTCTTAGTGTTAACACATTTGGATCAGATAACAGAAGAGGTGGTTTCTATCAAGAAGTATGTGTTGGGGGGCAATTTTTCAGACCATGTAATCAGCAGCATAGTACTCAGGAAAGCAAAGCGGGCATCTGGGTGAAGGGTTGAATGCCTTGATGTTAGGAGTATACAATCTTGTATGTAAACTTATGGAGAACTGCCTGTAGTGACAGAAGTAGCTGGAAAACTGTTCAACTATTTTATTTTTCCTATTCATATTTCTTCTCCATTTCTGACACCAAAATCTAGTGGGTTTTCATACACTGGATATGACAAAGACTACATGATGTCCCCAAACTCTTTCCCTCTCTTTCTGAACAATAGCAGGACTGTTTTTCAGCACTCTCTGCAGTACAGTGGGACCATATCACATTTGGGGGCAGGGGCAGTGACCACAGAAGGTATGCTCCACTTCCTGGTCTATCTCTAAAACCATCAGCACAGCCAACCACAGTGAGGAGTGTGTGTAATCCCAGCTACTCAGAAGGCTGAGGCAGCAGGAATGCTTGAACCTAGGAGCTCAGGGATAGCTTGGGCAACACAGAAAGATCTTACAAACACAAACACAAAATACCAATTTACAACTGGCTGTGTTCTCTGCCCAGACTAGAGACCTTATGAATCATTTGTTAAAGATGGTGGAATTATGTAATGGAAAAGCTCTGAGCCCCAGAATTACTGATGGAACGGAGCCACCTGCAGATCAGAAACATGGGCCAGGCTTTACCTTCCATTGTGTGAAACCACTGAGATGCCAAGGTTTATGGGTTTATCAGAGTAACGAAACCAGTGTCACCTTAGCTAATATAGCAGGTATTGTCCATGCCAAAGCCTCCTCTTAAAAAGATATACATAGAGCCTCCATTAGCTCAGGACACACAGCAGAAAGGGTCGGATTTAAAAGAAGGTCAGTGGGTAAAGAGGTATTAGTCAGCCTCAGGAGCACTTATCTGCTTCTCCTTCATGGGCTGCGGGATGCTAAATCAGAACAAGGCCTGGATCCATAACCAATGGTTTGCCAAAAATGACTTTGAAGCACACTGCTGGCATTATCAGTACACTCAAAAAGGCTAATAAAACTGAAAACTGCTGGCTTCTCCCCATTTTATTCTCCAAAGAAACCAATAGTAGAAGTTAATGTGGCCCATCTATCCAGCGAATATAGTTTTTGCAGATAGCTTGGGTAATAAAATTGTCCTAGCTGAAATCATGACCTTGTCTAGAAGTGTTGCTCCATCGCTAAAGCCCAACAACAGTGACAGCAGCACAAGTGGAAGGTGTGCCAGTGACAGCACCAGGATCCTAGCCCGACCCCACCCCACCCCACACCAGGGGCATGACGTTTGACACGAGTTGTCAACGTCTCTTGGCCTTTGCTATGTCTGTAGTGTACAAAATAGAGCTGTCAAAGCCTAACTTGCTGGGAGAGGAGGGCTGAGATCCTCTCAAATAAAAGGAAGAAAAAATAAAGAAGGAAGGAAGAGAAAGGGGGAAAAGACAGGCTACATTATTTCTAAAAAGATCTGTGTATTTAAATTAACAATGTGTCTCCAATATTAGAAGTCCTCCAGAAACACAAAGTCACACACAGGAGCTGTATGTGACTATCAGGAATAAGACTAAGGTCAAGCAAATTTGTCTCGGTTCAGCAGCCATAGAAACAGGCGCCCCAGGGCGTTTTAGTCCCGTGGCTCACCATAGTGTGGTATGATGCTCCAGGCCATAGCGGATGCGTAGATTCCCCCAGTCATCCAGAAGATGCCCAGCCAACTGAGGTGTTCTCCTCGCTTCTCCCGAGATAAGAATTCAGAAAAATAGGCAAAAACAATCGGCAAAGAACCCCCAATCCTGCAGAGAGAAAGTTCCAGAAAGAGAGAATCAAGTTATGTACTAAAAATCATCACAGCACAAACCATGTTGCCTTCAACCTCACCCTTAGGCTCTGTGGTGAACTAACCCAAGATTTTGAAAATCCAGCCAGGCAGTTCCTCTCTGGATATGAAAGGAAATCTTGCATTATTTTTACTTTATTCACCAATTTTACAGTTTAATCCTAACTTCGCTCTTTCTAAGGTTCAAATTTAATATAGTATTTTGAAACCCCTACAAAAACTCCATGAAGGGAATCTGGAGGTAACATACTGAGCTACAGTGCCACGGTGGATGGGCCATTGGTCTAGGAGGGGCTGGCTCAAAGTCTGTGAGTCATACCCTATGCCAGAGATGAGTCTGCAGAAGAGGAAGGCGCCATATCCCTGCACGAAGGAGGACAGCGAGGCGAAGGAGGCATTGACAGCCAGAGACATGCTGAGGACTCGCTTCCTTCCCAGTTTATCAGCCAGGCCCCCCAGGATGAAGGCCCCTGCCATCATTCCCAAGTAGACGATCAGCCCTGTGAGGAAGGGAGAGAGAAAAAGGGACAGAGAGAGAAGACAGGACATTAGAGACCATATGCTATTTAGAAAACCCAGTGTTCAATTTTACCCCATCCTAGAAATTCCATGTCATGGACATACAAAAAAATGGAATGTGACAAGATACTCAGAGTAAATCAGCAGTGCTACTCAAATGTAACCTTGTACAACTGTTACTCCAAAACCAATAGCCTCACTGCGTTTACGAACATGTACACATACCAACATAGGTCAGCCGAAACTAGGATAGATGTATCTTCTTTAGAGTGTTCTTTTAGATGTATAATCCGTAGGCAAGGGAAATGCTATAATTTTACTTTTAAACAAGAAAAGTGTTGATACTAAAAATGTCTTCACCTGAGATGTGATGTTTAAGGAAAGAATTTCTAGGGTAAAGCAAGGCAACATGGGTATGTGAAATCTGGACAGAAAAACATGCTAAAGATGAAACATAGCAATTGCCAACCAGGCTGGCTGTCTTATTCCACACTCCTGAAGGGCCTTTTGCAATCAATCAGTGTCCGGACATTTTAGGGGAATATAGCATCATTTGTACATGATGTGAGATAAGTATCTAATTTCATTCTTCAAAGAGTTGTCCTTTCCTCACTGTATCTTCTTAGCATCTTTGCCAAAGCTCAATGACTATAAATTTGTGAATTTATTTCTGGTCTCTCTCTTCTGTTCTTTTGGCCTATAGGCTTTTATGCCAGCACCACACTGGTTTGACTACTGTAGTTTTATAGAATACTTGAAATCAGGTAGTATGGTACCATCAGTTTTGTTCTTTTAGGTAAGATTATTTTGACTGTTTGGTGTCTCCGGTGGCTCCTTACCTATTTTAGAGGGTTTTGTCTATTTCTGTAAAAAATACCATTGGAATTTTGTTGGAGATTGCACTACAGATCTTTTTAGATAGTATGGACATTTTTAAGTGTTAATTCTTCCAATCCATAAATGCATGATATCTTTCCACTTATTTATGTCTTCTTCACTTTCTTCATTAGTGTTTTATAGTTCTTAGGGCACAGATCTTTCATTTCCTTGGACAAATTTGTTCCTAGTGTTTTGATACTATTGTAAATGCCATTGTTTTCTCGATTTCTTTTTCAGATACTTCATTGTTAGTATATTCAAACACTACCAATTTTTTGTGTGTTGGTTTCCTATTCTGCAACTTTACTGAATTTGCCATTAGTTCTAATAGTTTTTGGTGGAGTCTAGAGTCTTCTGTACTGTATATAAAATCATGCCATCTGCAAATACAGACAGCTTTACTTCTTCCTTTATCATTTGAATGGCTTTTAATTCTTTTTCTTGCCTATTTGGAAGAGTTTGAGAAAGACTGGCATTAATTCTTCAAGTGTTTGCTAGGATTCACTAGGGAAGCCATCACATCCTGGCTTGTCTTGTATTGAGAGGTTTTCTTATTACTGATCCAATCTCCTTGCTCATTTTTTGGTCTATTCATATTTCTTATTTCTTCATGATTCACTCTTGGCAGGTTGGATCACCTAGGAATTTATCCATTTTAAATTATTCATTGTCTTTGCATATAAGTGTTCATAATGATCTCCTTTGTATTTCTATAGTATCAACTATAATGTATTCTTTTTTACTTCTGATTTTGTTTGAGTCCCATTTTTTAGTAAGTTTAGCTAAAAGTTCATCAGTTCTGTTTATCATGTCAAAAAAACTTGATGCTATAACTCTTACAATTTACTGCTCTTCATAATAAGCACTGCTCATATTTCTTAGCTCTATATTAGTTCCTCCTTCCCTTGATCATCTCCAGGACTGCTTGCGTAGTGAGGAATGGCTCCATTCTTTCAAGAAGATTAACAATAAAATGTATGATTATTGCCAAGTGAGAAAAAGTGCTCCAATAAAGGTACATGTCCAGTATTATTAGAATCCAAAAAAGGAGCACAGTTTGGGTAAATCTCACCCAGTGTGGAACACCTTCCAAGACAGACATTTGAGCTGCTCTTGAAGGACAATGAAACTTAATCAGATTTCCATTGGTGATGGGGTAATCCATGAATAACAATGACAGACTCCATGTGCAAAGACAGGAAGGCAAAAAAAAAAAAAAAAAAAGCCTGATACATTTGAGCAACCACTAGTAAGTAGTGTAGTGTGAGGAGAACATAGTCTTCTATGTAGCGGGGAATATGATGAAGGACTAAGACTGAAGTGTCAGACACAGGTCAAATCAGAAAGAGAGAGGTGGTTGTATGTGTGCATAAAATGAAGAGAAACAAGAGAGTTAGAGGAGTAGCTGAGAACCAATCCCTGTACCTCCTTCCCTGATCCTGCCCTGGAGAAAAACACTAGCAATAAATGAAAGTTTATGCTTCTTTTACTTCAGTAAAGGTATCTTTGCACTTTTTGAAAAGTACAAGCAACCCTTCTAGATCCTATTTCTGGACCCTGGCTAAGCCAGCTGCTCCCTGCTAGTCTCTGCCAACAGGGGGCACTAAAGGGAGGCTTCAAGGGTAGAGAAGGAGGCAAGGATCTGTGCTTCCTGTTTCAATAAATTTCACAGATCAGTACTTCTTCATCTGGGCGGCAGCAGCTGCATCCCATGATGTCAGCTAAATCCAATTAGCAGGAGCCACGCTATGCCCCTCTCCTCTCCCACACCAGCGTAAGCCAACCAGCACTCCCTCTTCCCAGGCCGGAAATGTAGATAAATTATAATAATTTCAATCTCTCCTTTTTATTTCTGCACCCCTAGGAGTGGCAGCTATCCCCTGATTCCACTACCTCAGCTATAGTTTTTAAAAACTTTCACTTGCCTGGTTAATAATTTTTCACATCGAAGTTTCTCTTTTCAAATAACTGGTACAATTTCTTTATCCTAGCTACCCTGACTGATCTAGAAATGTAGGCAAATTGATAAATCTTAGAAATTAGGTATCAAATCCAAACCCCTCAGCTTTACCAGATGAAGGGGCTGAGCCCAAGATGGTCCGTGGTTCATCCAGAACCTGGACACTGCTGGGGACCTGCTGTCACTGCATTCCCTGGCCTCCTGGTACTTTCGCTAGCAAACCACCCTGTCCAAGGCCACAGAGGTACCAGAGAGAACAAAAAAGCCTCTTAAAATGCTGTTTATGGAAGCTGGGAAAAGGGAGAAAGGAAGAAAAATGAGCCTATCCACCAGAGAGGAGAAATATGAAATTAATGATGCCTCTGAAATGGCTGTGCTATTAAACTCATTTAAAATCTGTCGTTAGCAGAAGAAATTAAGACAATAAATTTGGAAAATTAAAGTGCAATGGAGTTATCAAAAATTACTTTAGCATGAAGCAGATGAGGGACTGGTTAGGAATCTATCATCTTTCATTCTACCAACCAGCTGTGCGGTGTATTAAGGACATGTCCCCCAGCGCACTGAGTTTTTTAAGGAAATTGAAAACTGTGGCTGGCTACTTGCAGAGCAGAGAGGATGAAGGTAAAGGGAGAAGGGACATGGTGGGATAGGAAAAGATTTCATCAGCGATCATACAATGTAAGAAAAGGAATGCCCTCCTTGGAAGAGGGAGGAGCTGGCACTGATTGGCATCTTGAAAGGAAAAACTCAGGCTTGAGACAGAGGCAGTGTGTGTGGGGTCTCGGCTGTGTGATTACCGGCAGTGACCACAGGCAACCCATTCAGCACCTCTGACCATTGTTACCGCTTTGTAAAATCCAGATAAAAATACTCATCTTGCAGGGTTGTTAGAATGACATAAGCGATGGATGGAAAGTATACATCAGGATGCCTGGCACAAAAATAAATGCACAATCAATAAAACTTACTCTTGTTGGTACTAGCAGTTTAGCTCACAATTGCCCGTGGCCTTAGAGAGCCACAGGCTCAGAAAAATGAAAAGAAGATGGTTTAAGATCAAACCAACTCCACATTAAAGGAATCTGAGGGAAGAGAATAGAGAATAGCAAAAGGAACTTATTTATAGCAGCATGCCCTTTAAATAGACCTCCCTCTCTCCCTACCTGGAGAAGGAGCCAGGTTCCAATAAAAAAGTCTTCTTTGACTAAAATAGTTTGAAAGTTTTCTCTAAAAAAACTTTAAGGAAGAAAACTTTTTTCTAACTCTTATATTTCTTAAATTTCTAGATTAAATTACCATCTCCTTAGGGAAGCAACGCTTCCCTAGGTGTTCCAAACTAGGCCTCCTCAAACTTTTTCTATTTAGAGCCAAAAAAATATACATTACTTGTAAATAATTACCTTGTAGATCTCCTATGATCTTTGTCATATCTTTTTCTTCTTCTTTCTTAAATATACAATGCTCTATATCAAAATACTCTTAAACAAAGGGAATAAATTATGGTTTCTATAGCACAGGAGGGTGACTATAACTTACTATAATTTATTTGTTCATTTTATAAAGAACTAGAAGACAGAAATTCAAAGCTTCCCTATGCAGTGATATGATAAATTTTTAAGGAGACAGAAATTCTAATTATCCTGATTTGATCACTGACCATTGCAAACGTGTATCAAATTATCACACCACAAATACACACAACCATTATGTATCAACTGAAATTTTTAAAAAGAAAAATATTTATAACCCTTTAAATGTGTAAAAATAAAAGCAGGTGATAGGTTTGAGGGACATAGTTACAAGTTATTATGGTCACAGTTATTTGAAAACACATGATAAATGTTTAAATTGTTAAATTTTTATTACAATAAAAGACATGTTGGCATTAATCTCCCTCAGTTCGATCACATTTACCCCATTATTTCTGCCACTTTCTCGAAGTCTTCTTTCATGTCTTCAGTTGCACTGTCCTGGCTACCTTGATATCCTGAATCAATTCAAAACATTTACCTTTCACGGTCATTTTGACATTGGAAAAGAGCCGGAAGTCTCACAGTGCCAGATCCCATGAATAAGATGGATGAGGACACCAATTTGAGAGAAATTACTGTAAACATTCTCAGGCAGTTCAGGACATAG